ACTACTCATATACCTTGGTAGTATTTATTTCCTAGAAATGTAAATCCTTTCTGGCCACAGTAAAAGCCACTGAATTTTCAGAACTCTAATTTGCATAATAATTAAATTCATTAAAACTATTTTCAAAAAGGCTTGGGAAGTCTTAAGACTGGAAACAAGTTTCCTATCACTTTAACCAAAGCAAAAAACCAAACCCACTGCTGTCAAGTCTATTCTGATTCATTTCTACCCTATAGAACTGCCTCACAGGGTTTGCAAGGCTGCAAATCTTTATGGAAGCAAACTGCTGTATCTTTCTCCTGCGGAGCACCTAGTGGGTTCAGATGACCTTTTTTGGTTAGCAGCTGAGCACTTAACCACTGTACCACCGGGGTTCATTTCATACTTAGTATAAATTCATCCAGGGTTTATTTGAAAGATTCTGACCTAAATTTATGATAGTATTTTCTTTAGGCTTTATTTTAAGACTGATGTATCTTTTTAAGACTGAGATTTAGAATAACTTAATTTTAACTTTCTTCCAAAGTTAAATGAATAGCTAGCACCTTCTTTATTTAGTATCTTATATAATACTTGAGTGTCTGCTAGTACAAAATACTGTTAGATGTTGAAGAGAATTTCTATGTTAAAGGATCTTAGAGTGGAGGAAGTAAAATGTACACAAGTAATTATAAAGTCAAAGGTTAAGAGCATCATAAGAGCTTTAGGACTTAGGAGATTTTGTGAGTTGAGAGTTTTACTACTGTTACAATTGAATTCAGGGAAGTCATTGTGCCGAAATTCGGATTATGCATTGGAAGGTTTGCTATGAATAGGAATTGAATTGATTCAAGGGCAGCAGGTTTGGATTTTTGGTTTGGTGCACTGGAAAAAGCCTTAAACAGGTAATAGTTGAATTTTAAAATATAGATCTGATTGGTACATGAAAGGAATAAGGGTAGGAAGTGTAATGTATTGAGATTGGGCAAACAATATGGACAATTGAGAATGTGTGTCTTTCAATTTATTATGAGTAGTCTAGGGAGGTTAGCCACTCCTCAGAAGGAAGGTTGGGCCATCTACTTCCATAGTGATATTGCCTCGGAAACCCAAAGAGGGGTCGCTATGAGTCGGGGCCGACTTGACAGCACATAACAACAACAGGGAGTTTAGAGCTCAAGGAGAATTGAGGGGAATCGAGGAGAGTCTTGGATGCAGTTAAGACTGTCTAGATGGCACTTAACAACAACAGACCAGATTAGAAAGGCTTCTACATAGTGTGCTTTGTCATCTCTAAGCTACAGAAGAATTGGTTATGGGGAGGGGGGGATCCATGACATCATCTGACTTTCATTTTAGAAAGATAATCTTAGTTTACCTTGAAGGAGGTATTGGAGATGGGAAATTATGGAGACAAGGAGATCAATTTGATGGCTAGTTCATCAGTCTGATAAAAACTTTTGAGGATCTAAACTTTAGAGAACAGTATTTGTAAAAACGAAAAAGAAGATAGATGAGAAATATTGAAATGAATCAATAGTTTTTGACTAATTTTATGTGGGGATTAAAGCAAACAGCAATTTTAGCATAGTTCAGTGTGTTTTAAGATGACTAAGGTTTTAATGTATTTTGGTTGTCTGAATATTTTCATTTAAAATTTTTAATTAAATGTTGACTGTATAAAAGAATGTTTATAAATTATTATAAATATCTTTGAAACCTTTATTGTGTTTTTCTCCTAATCCTATCTTTTTTTTTCTCTCAGAGATAATCACTACCTGGACTTCTGTGTTTTACCATTTCCTTTATAGATCTACCACATATGTCTAAGAAAACAAGCAATATATAAATGTAATCCTACTGTATATATTTTTTTATTGACTTGCTTTTTTCACTTGATAGATATGTTCTTGAGAGCCATCTGTGTCATTGCACTGTAGTTAATTATTTTTCTTACATGAATATATCATAGTTTATTTAATTCTTCTAAACATTGAGGGGGAGCTTTGGTGGCATAGTGCGTAAGGCATTTGACTGCTAACCGGAAGGCTGGCGGTTCAAACCTACCAGCCACTTCTTGGAAGGAAGACTGGGCAATCTATTTCCGTAGTGATACCACCTTGGAAACCCAAGGTGGGGTCACTATGAGTCGGATCCGACTTGACTGCAATGAGTTTAGTTTATATTATGGTAAATGAACATTGGGTTATTTCCAGTTTTAATTTTTCTTTTTGTTATCACTAATGGTCATGCTTAAGAACATTAGCAGGTGGTTTTTGTGATTGAAAACCTAGAATTTCTGGGTCATAGGCTATGTACATTATCAAGTCTATTAGGTGATGAGAAATTGCACAGTGTTACCATTATATACTCATATCAGTAGTACATAATTATAGTTCTACATTTTCAACAGTACTTGATCTTTAATTTTTTTTCTATTGTTGTGAAATGATGTTATATCTTATTGGGTATGTAATTTGAGGTGGACCATAATTTTGAGTATAGAATTCTATAAATTTTAACACAGGTAAAGATTTGTATTATTGTCACCATAATCAAGATGCAGAACATTTCCATTCCCCAAACCATTTCCCCATTCCAACCACTGGTAACCATTGATTTCTTCTACATCACTATACTTTTGTCTTTCTTGAGAATATCATACAAATGAAATCATGTAGTATAACATTTTGAGATTGCCTTTTAGACTTACCCATATTTTGTGTATTGATAGTTTGATCCTTTTTATTTGTTGAGCAGTATTTCATTGTATTGGATGTACCACTGTTTATTGACTCATCAAAAGATATTTGCATTGTTTTCATTTCTCTTGGGTAAACACCCAAGAGTGGGATTGCTGGATCATACGGTTAATTATGTTTAATTTTATAAGAAACTACCAAATCTTTTTTCAAAGGCAATACCATTTAGCATTCTCACTGGCAGTATATGAGCATTCTAGTTGGTCAGCATTCTCACTAACACTTGATATTATCATTTTGTTTTATTTCAGCCATTCTGGTAGCTGTGCAATGGTCTCTCACCATAGCTTTAATATTCATTTCTATAAAGGTTAATGATGTTGAACATTCATTCTTGTACTTACTTGCCACATGTGTATCTGCTTTGTGAAATAACTGTTCAAGTCTTTTGCTCATTTTTAAATTGGGTTATTGTTTTTTTTTTTTTGTTGTTGACTTTTGAGACTTTGTTATATATTTGTAGCTGTTAGACCTTTGCAAGATATGTGATTGTGAATATTTTCTTTTTGTCTGCAGTGTGTCTTTTCATTCTCTTAACTATCTTTTCTGAGGAGAAATTTCTAATTTTGATGAAGCCCAATTTATATGTTCCTTTTGTACATCATGCTTGCAGTGTCATGTCTAAGAACTCTTTGCCTAAGCCTGAGTTACAAAGATTTTTCTCCTAAAATTTTACTATTTATTTTTAGGTCTATGATCATTTAGGTTAAGGTCCATTTTTTTTTTTTTTTTTGCCTATGGCAAATGGTGTTCAAGTAGCACTTAGTGAAGGACTGTGTTTCTACATTGAATTGTATTTGCATCTTTGTAAAAAAATCAGTTGGCTGTATTTGCATGAGTTTGTTTCTGGACTTTATTCTGTTTTATTGATCTATGTATGTTTCTCCCTTCCTCATTACTACCCAGTCTTGATTACTGCAGCTTTATAGTAAAACATTCGTTTGCCTTTCCATATAAAATTTTAGAATCAAGTTTTCTATATCTACAAAAAGTCCTGAAAGTTTGATTGGCATTGCATTAATTTTCTAAATCAGTTTTGAGGAGAATCCACATTTTTACTGTTTTGAATCTTTCACTCTATGACCATGATATATCTTCATTTATTTAGGTCTTCTTTGATTTCTTTAATCAGCATTTTATAGTTTTCAGCATATAGATCCTGAAGATATTTTATTGTATTTATACCTGAGTCTTTCATTTTTTAAATTGTAAATTATATTGTTTTTTTTCATTTTTGGTTTCTACTGGTTTATAGAAGTACTGTTGATTTTGTGTATGTGTGTTGACTTTGTATCTTGTGACCTTGCTAAACTTACTTATTAGTTCTGAGTTTCTTTTTTGTTGATTGATACAAACAGCATAGATAAATCTCAATAATTACATTGAGTGAAATAAACTAGACAGAAAAAGTATATAGTGTATGTTTCATTTATATAAAATTCTAGAAAATGCAAGCTAATTAGTAGTGACAAAAAACAGACTAGTGGTTACCTGGCAATGAGGAAGAGTGGGGGCATGAGAGTGCAAAGGATTGTGGAGAAACTTGGCAGTGACAGATATGTTCAAATCTTGATTGTGGTGATAGTGTCACTGATACATACATATGTCAAAATTATTGAATTGTACACTTTAATTGTGTGTCGTTTACTGAATGTCAGTTATACCTCACTAAAGCTATTACAAGTCAAATATTAAAATAATACTTTGAAACAAAGATAAGAACTCTAAGACAGGGCATATTTTCACATTTTATGGGTAAAAGAAGTTAGATTCAGGAAACTAATTGATTTACTTATGTTCAAGTGGTAAGAAAAGGAGCCAGAACACAAACAGGTCTTCTTGCTTCGAATCCAATCTCTTTTGCTTAAGTGAGATTTCTACCTTGCAATTTCTGAAACATTAAGTTCTTAAGTGAATGTCTGGAAGTAACTGATTGCTTATTACTTGCTTTCTTAGTCACTTGAATAAAAAGTAGAAATTACTCTTGCATCATATTAACAGTTTTAATGGTTAATTTATAGAACTGTGTTGTAAACTTTTATTAGCTTCTAAAATTCTAAGATAACTTGTTTATGACATGTTTATTATCTATAATAAATATATAGTAATAGAAAATAAACCCGAAAAAAAGGTGCATCTTAAAATTTAAGAAGTATGGTTTTGTTCTTTTCCACTGACATCTTGTCTCACCCTTGCTACCACCTAATGTTTTTTTCTTTCCCCACATTTGCTTGAATTAGCATTTTGTTCCCTTTTAAGTTATTTCAGATTCCTTTAGAAGAGGAAGGACAACGAGGTGGACCTATCCTTGCACCAGAAGAGATTAAGACTATTTTTGGTAGCATCCCGGATATCTTTGATGTGCACACTAAGATAAAAGTAAGTTTGTACATATTGGACTTGGTAGTAATTCTTTTTGGATTGGTGTGATTTTTCAGACACTTCAGATTAGCTAACTAAATTTTGTATCTAAAACATCTGTATTCATTTATATCTTGGAATCATTTGTCCCTTTACCCCAATACCTTTTTAAAATGTTTGTTGATTGCCTGTTTTTAAATGTAGATTAATTCTGGCAATGAGGAATTAAGACATTACTGAGTCTTTTCTATAATAATGTGTGTCCCGTAGTACTGTTTTTCTATTGTTGTTGCCTTTGGATTGCTGCTTTGGTTTGTTTAGAAACCATGAAGCTGGAAGGAGTGTAGAGTTCATTTAATTCATTTCTCTATTTCTGGGTAGATAAATGCCAAAGCTGTACAAGAAAGCCTATCCTTTTTTTTTTTTTTCCTTTTTAAATGATTTTCTTTTGACTAGGGGGTCCATAATTTCCAGGTATCAATATATTAAATTACTTTTTGGGCAGATTTAGCTGAACTCTTTACAAGTAATTTAGCTTTATTTTCTGTTATTTTTATTATGTAGTTTTTGAGCAAAATTGATCAGTTTCTTCCTGAAAACAACTCTTATTAATGGTTATTCCATATTCTAATTGAAAAAAAATCAGAATTATAGAAGGTTTTCAAATGAATGAATTGCTTTTGATTTCAGTGCACATTATAAATGAAATAGAAATGATCTATAAATTAATACAGTTTGCCAAGTGCTTGTATTTTGTATCTTATCAGAATCATGTTGTTGTTGTTGTTATGTGCCATCAAGTCAGACCCGACTCATAGCGACCCCTCCTTGGATTTCTGAGGCAGTATCACTATGGAAGTAAATTGCCCAACCTTCCTTCTGAGTTGGCTGGTGGGTTTGAACTGCCAGCCTTCTGGTTAGTAGTCAGATGCCTTAGGTACTACGCTACCAGAGCTCCCATCAAAATCATAGTTCAATTAATTTCCAGATCTAGAAGGAACTTTTGAAGGAAATCTTAAACCTCCAAATTTGAAAATAGCTGCCGATGTTCAGGCTAGCTTATCCCTTCCAGTTAGGGTTGTGAACATTTGAAGAGGAAAGTATTAGTGGAAAATTTTTGCTTCATAAGAATCATTGAGAGGCGTACATGTACAATGGTAACTCAAGAAGGTTTTCACCATGATGTTCTACCATTAACTGGTAGATTGGTTTGAATTTATAATAGGACATTTAGTGAGTATGAGTGTACAAACTCCCTTCTTTCACAAAATGTTACACTTTTTATGTATACAGGATCATAATCTCATGTCAGAAAATCATTTTCTCTGATTCAGTGGAGCTTTGAAAATGATTGCCACCCTTTCTCAAGGGTAACCTAATTCTTTAAGCTTCTTTGGTAAGGTTGAATTACCAGTACTGCAACTAATACTTGTTTTTCAGGCGATTTCAGGTTTATCACATATTTAAACATTTTGAAGTTTATGTTTTTTCTTCTAACAGGAAATGAGTTTGTGCTTTCAAACATTTTTATAAGTGCAAGGGAAATGAAAAACATTCATAATCCAATCACCCAAATACTTCCAAAATTTTGGTGCATTCTCTTTGGTCTTTTTATATACATAGCTTTTTTCTTTTTTACTTTTGAATGTATTTAACCATCTATTGAGCTAATAACACATTTACTGAATACAAACAAGAAGTTAATATATTTATAATAATTTTAAATTGCGGAATTTTTAGATTAATAATAATTTAATTATTTTAAATTTTGTTTAATTTTTGTAAGTTAAACAAAGATTGTAAGATTTTAAAGATTGTGCTCTTAACCATTATGCTATATTGCTTATTGGTGATGGTGCCATGGACACTATTTTGATACATAAACAAATCATGTAGATGTATCTTAAATTTGTATTTTTTTTCATGTCTCATTAAGTATTTCTGAGAAGCACTAGTAACTGTATTTTCCATCGTTTTGGGAATAAATGGATTTTGGTTTAAACTCAGGTGAATTTTAAGTGCTTCAGTTTCACATCTGTAAAATGAGGCTGGTAGTATATGACTGTTCGGTTTTTCATGAATTTGTTTTCTTTTTTTTTAACAACATACATACAAATCACAGAGCACATTGCCTGGCGTTTAATAAGTAACAATACCAAATCAAACCCACTGCCGTGGAGTCGGATCTGACACATAGTGACCACTCCTGGGGTTTCTGAAGTAGTATCACTACGGAAGTAGATTGCCCAACCTTCCTTCCAAGGAATGGCTTGTGGGTTTGAACCGCCAGCCTTCTGGTTAGCAGTCAAATGCCTCAGGCACTACACCACCAGAGCTCCTAAATAACAATAGCAATTAATATTAATAATGAACAACTCTAAAGTTTAGTAAAATAATGTTCATAAGTTTTATATGTAGTCAGAAGTATTTTATTCCCACTGTTTTACAGTCACTTTGGCACTTAGATTATTATCAATAATTATTTGTTGAATGATGGTCAAATTTAAATTTAAATTTCAGAGTCAGGACTAGAACTTAGTCTGTCTCCTCATCTTGGTACTGTGTGGATACTTTTAGCCCCATCTTCTTACTTTGCTTTCAGGATCTAGTGTGCTATTTGAACTAAGGTGAAGGGAATTTTGGAAGGTGTCATCAACCTCTCTTTTGCTAAGTAATTTTTTCCTTTTCAGAAGAAATGAATCATTAGTCTGCTATGTGCAAATACCTACTTTCGTGTAGAACTATAATCTTAAAAAAAAAAGAGAAAGGGAAGGATTGGAAGGAGCCCTTTTTTCAAATCCTGTGTTTATCCTTCATTATTTAGTTCAACTGTCAAAAGTATTTTGTACTTCTTTTAGGAACAGCTGTATATTGGGGATTCTGGGTATTTGGTTTATTGTACAATAAATGAGCTAGGTGGAAGTGAAACTCAAGTCAAATAAGTGGGTGGTAGCCATACGGAAGAAAAAAAATTTAATGTGGAATGAAAAAAGGGAAATAGCTTAGCTTTCCTAGCTCCATCTTATTACTCTTACACTCCTGCTTTTCTCATACCCTTGCCCAGGCTTTGGGAGCTGTGCTATGTCTTAGAACTAGAAATTCTCCTTTCGTATGGTCAGGAGGTAAAGTTGGGAGAATCCCTATGGAGAATTCCTGATGTGCTGTGGATAAGGAGAAGGAGTTATATTCCAGTGTGTCTGTCATAAATTGGGTTAGCCATTTTCCCACAGAAATATTGTAAGAAATAGAATGTGAATAATGCTTTGGGAATTGGCCCACCAGTCTGATTTCCCATTTCTAATTGAGGGGTTAGGTGGGAGGAGGAGATACTGTGGTATAGATCAAGTGGTATAACATGGAAACTGGAGTCAGACAAACCCGAGTTTGAATACTGGGCCATGACTGTCTGATTTGAGGCAAGCTACTTAATCTCTCAAAGGCTAATCTCTTTTCACCTTAATACTTTTCTTTAGCTAGCAATTGCTGAAGGTAGAAAATTTATTTTATCAATAGGTGTTAGGAATTAAAAAGGCTAACCAGGAACATAATTGCCTATTTTTCAGGTAACCTAGAGAATATTTTATTATCTGATAGCAATGTGGCTACATAAATAGTTTTTTAGAGATTTAAATTATATATATATATATATATACACACATATATATATATATATATATATTTTCTGTATTCTGTAGTCTTACATGCTTTAAAAAGGTACCACTAAATTATATTGGCAGAGCTAGAGGATTTTCTTCTTCCTATTTTACATTACAGTTTTCTAAATATCCCTATGAGTTTATATTAATCTTATATAGGAAAATAAAGTTAATAATAGCTTACTGAGCACTTCTTTCTCAGGGGTTCTTATAAGTGCTTTACAAGTTTTAACTCATTTAATCCTGTATGAGTTAAGGATAGCTATCCTCATTATTCAGAATAGGGAATAGGCACATAGGACAAAGGCACAGAGCTGACAAACAACAGATGCAGGATTTAAACTGAGGTAGTCATCGAGTGTGGTGTAGTTCTACTCTGTCATATAGTGTTGCGAGTTAGAATCCACTCCCTGGCATACAGCAGTCAGTGTCAGAATCTACTACATTATATTGCCCCAACATTAGTCTTAAAATCTTTTTCTTCCTCTTTTTTTCAAGTGACAGTTTTGAATAGTTAAATCTTCCAAATTCTTGATGTATGGATTGTGAAGATAATCTAGCTTTTAATTTCACTTTTATGCTATCGAAATTCCCCCCCTCCACTCACCATTTCCACTTTTCTGATTCTGCTAGTATAGGACAGTGGTTCTTATTTACTCTCAGGTTCCCTTTTCACTCTTAAAATATATTATAGAATTTTTGGTTATATAGTTTTCATGTAGCAGTGTTTACTTTATTAGAAATTAACAAAATTTAAAATATTAATTTTAAAATACCTAATTTTTAAAAACTGCATTATTGTGGTGTTTGGTACATAAAACAAGACTAATCTATTTCAAATATGAAAGAATAGACCATGTGAAGAATACATTTGACACACTGAACACCAATGACCGAAAACCAGACGAATTGGGGGATGATATCAAGAACATCATACATGAAGAAAGCAAAAGGTCATTAAAAAGACAGGAAAGGAAGAAAAGACCAAGATGGATGTTGTGGTAGTTATATTTGTGTGTCAACTTGGTTGGGCCTGGTTGAGTGGCTGGGCAGCTGGTGGTACTTATTCCCCATGATGAGACTGGCAATCAACTCCATGGTGGGATCTACCACAAGCAGCTGGGTAGCTGCTTTAGATATGTGGTCTGCTTCCTGTTTATAAGCAGAACCCTTGGGGAATGGTCTCTAGCCTATGGCATGCTTGAAGCCTGCATGTAGCCGTGTCGTTCAGCAGCCTGCCATGCCCTGCCAACCTTGGGACTTAAAATGGACTTAAATTAATGGCATGCCATGTGGTTTGGTAACATCAGGACTGTGCCTTTTTATTTGTGGACCATGGTTTTGTCAGCCTCAGCAGCTAGC